TATATATATATATATATATATATATATACACCGGGCGCATCGGGCGGGTTGCGGGTTTTAATTGTGAAACCCGCCAACCGACCCATTCTAATCGGGTTTTCACATTACTAAACTGCCCATGAATATTTTATATATAAAATCGGCGGGTTTCGGGCGGGTCGGCTCGGGTCGGACGGGTCAAGCGGGTGGAGCGGGTTTATGTTCACCCCTAGTCTACTCTAATGAAATTGAAAGGAATGAAAAAAGAAAAGAAAAAGAGATAAAATAAAATTGTCAAAGTAAGAAATGACGATATTGCCCCTAAATTTATGTTATAGGTCAAAATATATTCTTTTTATAGAGCTAATAACAGAAAACCCCCTGTGTTATTTCTAATTGTCAAAAAAGTCCTTGTGATAAAACAATTAGCATATACCCCCTTATGTTGTATTTTATATTGCACATCGCCCCATTTATCAGATTTAATTGCTGAATTGAATGAAAAGACAAAATTATCCTGAATTTAAAATAAAACAGAATGCCCCAAAGCCAATTAAGAAAATCGTGAAAAAATAAAAATGAAAAAGCAAGAGCAAGACAGAAGTCTTCTCTTGCCCGTCGACTTCTCCACCTTTTTTTTCTTCCCATAGTTTTTCTCTTCCACTGTTGTTAATTGGTTTGCAAGGAATAAAGGGGACGGAGTTCCTTGGGCGAGATGGAAGAAGAAAGGGGGCGTTTACATATCCTTTTGGCATTTATGAGATTTTTGCAAGTGGAGGGTTTTAGTGAGGTCGACGTTGGATGGGCAGTCATAGACAGCGGGGGAGGTGGCGAACCGGAGGTGGTTGCAGATCTGGCGGCTAGTTCGGAGTTTCTTAAGTTGGCCGGCAATGGTGGTTTTGGGTGTGGTGCAGGAAAGGGCTTTCTTGAAAGTGTATGGGACTGAAATAAAAAATTCAAAAGTTCATTTTGGTGCTTATAATAAAGTAAGGATGACTCTGTAATTTTATAAATTTGTGATGAAGGGTAATTGGGTCTTTTAAGGTAAAAATGATACTCACAGTCGCAAAATTCGCGCGTGCAACTCACGAGAAGCTGTTACGGGCTTTTTCAGCTTTGACTACATTTCATAAGGGGGTCCTTGCCAATTATTTTAACACGGGGGGTTTTATGGTAATTAGAGATTACACAAGGTAGGTTATTGCAAAAAACACTCCTTTTTATATATAAGATACTTAAATTCAAATATTTGCAACATTTCTAACGGGGATTATAACTATGAGCACAATATATATGACTATGAGCACAATTGTTGCAAATATAACAGACATAATTACACGGCTTTACGTGAATATTAATGTATTATACAGTCAAAATCCATAACAACCAAATGGTAATTACACCCACACATTTTCAGATAAATAAAACGAATTTAGAACAACATGAACCCCGAAAAACAATCTACAGAGTATCAATGCATACAATCATGCTCGACGATCCGAAATAACAAAAAAAATTCAAAAATCAATACAATGCAGAATAATTAAAAACCAATATATGCATTCATAACAAACTAATAATAGAACTGAAAATTCAGATACATAACAAGAAAATTCTTTAAACAAAATTTAATTTTTTATTTGTGGTTTAATTTTTTTCTTTTATATCAGGTATATTAATCGACTATAATGAATTAGCGTAGTTGATAAATAATCTGCTACTAAAAATAACAAATCACAATTCCAAATAAATGCAAAATCAACTATATTTTACAAAAACCAAAAATATACAAACATTATAATTGATTTATACAATTGGAATCAATAAACAAAAATTCAAAAAAAAAAAAATATTCAAGTCGATCAACCTTAATCGACTACCAAAGCATAGTCGATTAACTTAATCGACTATTGAACATGTACATAGTCGATTAAGGTTAAACCACGCGAATTTCTCTACCCGCCCCGTTCTCCGCCCGATCCATCAAAACACCCTAGACCTGTCTCCCCATCGTCACCACACACACTATTTAACCAATCCCTAACAGTAATAAAATAAATAATTCATTAAAAAAAAACACATTTCAGTATCCAAAAAAAAAAAAAATTAAATAAAAACATGAACAATTCAAAGTATATGTGAACCATTATTGGCCACTCCAGAGACAATTTATGAACACATGACAAACCTAACACTAAAAAAAAGGAAAAAAAAAAAAAAAAAAAAAACCTCCATCAACAATTTTCCGTTGATTCTTCTCCTCCAACGTGTACTTCCTCTTCTTTCTCAACATCATGTTTCTCTTCTTCTTCCTCCACACGCCGACGAGGTGGAACAGACTGTTGAGAAAGAAGAGTGCTTCTTCCCCACACGCCGACGACCAGTGCTTCCTCTTCTTTCTTTTTCCATCTTCCGAGTGCGGCGGCGGCGGCGGATCGGAGAGAAGATTTGCCGAAGAAAACAGAGAAAAAAAAGAAGAAAAACCAGAGAAGAGAGAAAGCTGGAAACGAGAAAGCGGAATGGAAAATAAAAAATAAGATTATGGTTTGGAAATGGTACAATAGATAATTAAGGTTAGTTTTTAAATTACGAAAATATAACTTGGGTGGAATATTAACTAAGGGGGTTTTCTCTAATTATTTTTTTGAGAAAGTTTTTGTCACGTCCGTATTCCACGCGGCAAATTCGTAGCAAATACGCAGCGAAAGCCTTTTCACTAGATTTTCTACGGTTAATTGTCGTAGTAAAAAACCAGTTTTCTATTAGTGACGGTACGACTGTAAATTTCTTGTTTCTTTCATAATAATAATAATTATAAAATAATAAGAATAAGAATAAGAATAATCTCGTTATTCACAATTTTTATTCTGATTTTATCCTAGCATAATAGTGGCTTAATCTCACTTTGCACCCTTGAAATGGAGCTTTTTGGCACCTTACACCCTTTTAAAATAATAATAGCACTTTGCACCCTCAAAACACAATAAATCATTCACAATGCACCATTAATTTAATAATAAAGGACAATTCATTTTTTATTGTTTTTTTATTCGTGATGCAAAATAGCAAATTAAATTGTTAATTTCCTCAATCTCCAACCTAATTTCGAGCGCTCAAAATGCGAAAAAATAAAAGTAACATCGGGTAATTGAATTTTTTTATATTTTCTTACAAAATAAAAACATATAACGATTAGGTAGAAATATTTGGAAGACAATATGATTTTCACATACCTTAATAACGAAATAGCTGAATATTTTTTTTTCGTAAAATATATTTTTGCGATAAAAATATAGTTTTTAAATACAACTAAAAATATTAAATTGCATTTATTATCTTTAAAAACTCACGTGGAGTGCATTATGCACAATATATTGTGTTTCGAGGGTACAAAGTGCTATTAATTTGTCTCGAGAGTGCAGAGTGCCAAATGATAAATTTCAAGGGTACAAAGTAAGATTAAGCCCATAATAATTTGGTGATTTAAGAACAAAATCTCATAATTCTATTTCTTATTCTACTGCATACAATATTTAATACTCTATCATCATTAAAAGAGTGGTATCTACTTACCATTATTTGTTAAGATTTTTTAGCATCAAGTAAAGTAGAAAGATCATTTACTATTACTATGTTTGTTTGTTAAATGTCACTTTCGTATTGCCTCCAAATTTTACCAAAACTAAATTTCACCTTCTCTAAAACTAACTCCACCTTCACATTCACATGTTCTACTTTAATTATACCTAAAATTTGTTGTTCTATTTTACAAAGCATTTATTGGTACATCACACAAAGATGTGTCTCTTGTAATATCTTATTTCTTTTGTTTGTTACCTATAAATATGTCTAATAGCTGCAAGCCAAAACACCAAACATATATGTATATATTCATTTATAAATGACTTCATACATTTCGGGTTCTATACATGCATATCCCTCAAGCAACAAAGTTTGTTCAAACCATATCAAATTAACACTTCACATAAGAATGTCAAAACAACATAATTTTAGAGATTATGTACAAAATATTTTAGCTTTCAACTTCTTGTTTTCAATCTGTGAAATAATTATTGTTTGATTATTGAAAGAATATTGCTAAGCTGAAAACTTTGAGATATTCTATCTTCAACCAAATAGTTCACTCCAACGGAACATGTTGGTCTTGGACTTATAAATTATAAAGTGATATTGTAGGCCAATGAGTCTCGGCATCATCCCTCAATTCTTCTGAAAACAAAATTCACGCGATGATAAGGAAAAGAGACAATTATTAACATACGGTGACCTGTGAAGCGATAAAATATAATGAGTTTAGAAAATAAATAAATAAATAAACGGTATAATAGATTATGAAAATTAAAACATCATGGTCAAACAAATAATGAAAGAGATGAACATTATGTGAAGGGATATGTTTGTCATATTGGGAGTCATTGTGAACGAAAATTATGTATGATTTGTACAAAAAAATCAAAATCGTTAGCAACTATGATGTGATGTAAAATTTAAACATATGATAAAAAATAAATCTAAATAAATAATTGTATTGTTTACCTGTAGAAAGCAAATTGCTTACGTTGAACAATGTTGTAACAAAGAAGACGAACAATATTTTAAATGAGCAAGAAGAAGAAGCTTGGCAAGAAAAAATGTTTATTTTTGGTGGAGTTTTCATGAGTTTAAATAGAACAATGAAATTTGTAGGGGTTGAGATCATGGTGTGATAACTTCTACCCTGATGAATTAGTTGGGGTTTAGTAAGTGGTTAGAGTGGAGAAGGAAAAAAAATATATATATATATATATATATATATATATAATATTTAGTACTCTAATCGGCATTAAAAGAGTGGTATATCTACTTGCTATTATTTGTTAAGCTTTTTTAGCATCAAAGTAAAGTAGAAAGATCATTTACTATTACTATGTTTGTTTGTTAAATGTCACTTTCATATTGCCTCCAAATTTTACCTAAACCAAACTTCACCTACTCTAAAACTAACTTCACCTTCACATTCACATGCTCTACTTTATTTGTACCTAAAATTTGTTATTCTGTTTTACAAAGCATTTATTGGTACATCACACAAAGATGGGTCTCTTGTAATATTTTATTTCTTTTGTTTGTTACCTATAAATATGTCTAACAGATGCAAGCCAAAACACCAAACATATTTTATTTCAGTTATGATAGAGCCATTCTATATAATTTTGCTCACTTCAATTGCAGTTGGTGATGGTGTGCTGACATCTGTATTTCAGGTAGCCTTTCTATAAAATTTAATTTTCCATTATGTAATTTATATTTTTCTTGAATCAAGCATATCAATCTTATTTTAAATACTAAAAATATCTATTTTTATCTATATATATGTATATATATATATATGTGTGTGTGTGTGTACACACTGGAAACTGAAATTACATGTGTGTATTATTTGATGTTAATGATTTTGTTTGAATCGTTGATGTTAATGATTTTGCTTCATTGCTAGAAGGATATATTATCAAATTAATGACTACTTCAATTTTAATTTGTTCGTCATATATTTGTATTAGATTTACAAAATAAAGAAAAGTAAATTTATGTAAAAAGTAACTAAAAAATGCTTCTAGGATGTGTAATATAAATTATATGATGTTAGATGAAAAGTAGAAGAATATGCAATCAACAATGAACTAACAAATTAATGAATTCGTTTAAGCTAAACTAACTAGTACAGTCAGTATGCATAGCTTTTGGATTTCATGTATTTAGTTAAAAATATGTGACTACATTTATTATATTCTAAATATATATATTATTTTTATCTTTTTTCTAACACAAATTTTAAAACTTCATTTTTTTATGGAAAATAAATAGCTGTATACAAGAAGCCACATTTTAGTATTTTTGTTGTTCAATGGAATTAAGTAAATTTATGATATTCTCTTATTTTGCAGGTCCGGTGGTAGTCTTTCACTACACCATAAAATGGATTTTCTAACACATATATCCGTTAGAAATATTTTTTACAACAGCGAAAAAGCATTAGAAATAGTGCGTGAGAAATTCTGAGCCTTTCATTTCTAACGGATATATCCGTTAGACAAATAAAGCATACCGTTAGTATAATAATATTTGCTAACGGATATATCCGTTAGCAATACTTTCGTAACGAATAGTTTTGTAACACTCTATCTAATTGTAACGGATATGCCCGTTAGACCCATAAAACAAACCTCATTCTTCTTGGTAGAACATAGTAGTTATTGTTTAATACGTTGCCACAATTAGAGCAATTGGACTTATATACCTGAGTTCTATGTTTATGAAGTTCCGTGAAGTATGATACATGATACTAATGTTTGCAGCGATTGTGGTATTAATTATGTTTGTGTGGACCATTGTGAAAAGGTGGATGTACGAGAAACTCCGTAAGAAAACATGTCGATCTTAACCAAATAGCCAAAGATATCCAAAGAGCCCCAGGTTTGGTAGTACTCCACTGTCGTATAAATGGAACACTACCAACCCTGGGGCCCTTTGGATATCTTTGGCTATTTGGTTAAGGTCGACATGTTTCTTATGGAGCTTCTCGTACATCCACCGTTGCACAGTGGTCCACACAAACATAATTGTTACCACAGTCGCTGCAAACATTAGTGTCGTGTACCCTTCTTCACGGAACTTCATAAGCACAGAACTCAGGTATATAAGTTCAATTGCTCCAATTGTGGTAACGTACAAAACAATAACTACTACTATGTTCCATTTTCAGACCAGTTACACGATAATAACCAAGAAGAACGATGTAAGTGATAAGGCAACAATTATCTATCCACCAAATAAGCCTGCAAATCACTCATCATCAATCAAGCTTAATCACATCTCCAAGAATCAGCAAGTGCAGCCCTGAAATCATATTGTAATTATATATAATATTCTCTATTAAGTTTCTAGCTTTAATCTTGTAATAGTGATTGTAACTCTAAGTTGCTAGATTGTATATATAGGTGCATAACTAATACAATTCATGATCACATTCTAAAGTCTCTTTACATGGTACAGAGCCACTAATTTTTTTTTTCTTCCAGCTTCTTGCTTTTTTCTTCTTTTCTCCACTTTCATCATGTCTACTCCCACCATTACCACCCCCACTACTGGAACGAACAGCAGCCGAAAGAACTGCATTATTTATAAATTTAATCGCCACATTTCCTAATTAAATTAAAAAAAATTATGCTGAATGATTGATAAATAAAAAGGAAAGAAAACACAATTTCAGTAAAATGAAACAAAAAAATAAAAAAATTACAGTATAGAATTGGAAAGAAGATGAAGAAACCACTGAAACACCTTCTAGTTTTGCAGCTTGAAATTAATTTGCCCTATTAGCTTTTAAAATGCTACTTCTTTCTTATATATATATATATATATATATATATATATATATATATATATATATATATATATATATATATATATATATATATATATATATATATATATAGCAATCAAATAAAAAAATTGTTAATTCTCACCTAAATAAATCGGCATACGAGTTATTACTAATATATTTTAGTTTTCTAATTTTATTAAATTCTAAAGATAAAATAGTTTAAAAAAAATCATTAAAATATGAATAAGTTTTACAATAGATGTATACCTTTTTTATTACATGTTCTCTTTTCTCTTTTGCACGCAAACATCTATTTACAGTAAACTAGAATGAAGAAAATTTTGAAAGTCTCGTTCTCTCCCCTATTATCTCTTAAATGATTGTATTTTATGTAGATGTATATATGCTAATATTTACTTTAATTTAAAAAACATTAAGTTACATTTCTTTACCTATTTTAATTTTTTTTATTATTGGAAACTTAGCCCCCACGTAAATGGCTCACGGTTCGCCCCTGCATTAGTACTCTCATAAGTCTACGATTTGACGAAAGTTGTTTTTGTTATGATTCGTATTCATTTCACAGCCAAAATAATAATCTGAAAAATATAACAAATCATTTAAAAGAAAAGAAAAAAAAAATAAAAGAAAAGAGAGGAAAGGTCATCGTCTTCCCCAACCCCAACAACAAGAAAACAATAAGTTCAGCACCAACACCTCTTCTTTCCCATACCAGACCCGAATCCGCACAACCCAAGGCTGACCTCAGCCCCAATTACAACAATGCCTATCTGATAACGGCCAAACCTGAAAGGTTCAAAAAATTGCGTCTTTTTGTCCTTTTCTCTTCTCTTCTCTTGCTCTGCCTTATCGCTGCAAACGCCTTTAATTAAAATAGGAGATTGGGCGAAGGTTGAGGCCTGCGTAAAGTTTATTGGTGGTCCGGTGGAAACTAAAGTTTCAAAGATGTTGTGGGCGGCGGATCTGGTGAAGATGGTAGTGGTGGTGAAAGAGGGGTGAGATGGTGGTGAGCCGCGAATCAGAAGCGGCGGTCGGGTGGAGAAATGATGGATGAGTGATGTGAGTTAGGTGGGTGGCCGGGGAAGAAGAAGGTTTTTTTTTCTTTTTTCTTTGTTTTTTTTTCCCTTTTTTTATATGAATGTAAAATGAAAAAAATAGAAAACATATAAAAAGTTTTAATGTTACAATATATATTTCATTATGGTTTGAATATATTTTTTATTTTTTACAAATAAAAAAATACATAATATCTATAAAATTATAATATACGTTATTAATTGCTGAAAAATCCCTAAGGGTGTTTACTTCTTTCTTCGTGATGTAGTCCTTGTACTTTCCATATTCTAGAAGAGTCTTCACAATCTTTATTCACGTTTGGGGATAGTCGATTTTAGCTTCTTCCTTGATGAATGAATGTTCCTCGAAGATCTTCTTTAGTGTATGAAACGGGCTACTATCTTTTTGCGCCCTCTCTTAAGACAATATAGATCCACATCATGCAAGAAAATAAATGCATATCAAACACGGTCTGCATAGAACAGCATAATATGCTATTTTCTTTAATCAACTATTTTAATATAAAATCGACTATTTTTATAAAGTGTATAAAGTGAGTTGCTATCTTGCTAGCTAAATAAAACTTTACTCCTCCAGCTAGCACAAATAGTAGAAAATCAAACCACACATTAAATACAAATTAACATCATTACCTTTAAATATTAAAATAAATAGTTTGTATGCAATGGTTATGAAGTAAACAACTATTTTCTTTAAATAAACTACAATTTGTTAGTTGTATATAGTAGAAATCAACTACACTTTCACCAAGTACAATTGATCAAATGAAGTAATTAAATATCCTTCATCAACAAACACTTCATCAATAAATACAGTCGAACAAATATTGAACAAGATGAACTGCTGGCAAACATCTTCATTCACTTATGGCGTCGGAAAATAGCAGTAAAAAGGGTTTGATTGTAGTTGTTGCCGTCGATGGGTTGTAAACGAAAACAATTAGGGAAAGTTTGTAGTTTTTGTGCCTCAAATTTACGGCTTCGCCAATTTTTCACCCTAGAAACTATCGTCGTCGTAGTTGTTTTCACCCTAGAACTTTCACCGGGGTGGGAGGTTGAAGGAAGGTAGGTGTGAGATTTTCAGAATTTCAGAAGCTTCATTAAAACGGTTTCTATAGAGACGAGATTTGAGTTCCAAATATTATTTATTTGGGTCGTGGTTTCTAGTGGGGTACTTTTGGTATACAAAAAATAGTAGATCATTTAATACTAATATTGAAAATGTGGTTGGAGCCACTCTTATTACAAACACACTAAAAGGAGTTCTCACTAATAGCCCCATTTATATATTATATAGATAAAGGCAAATATTGAAAATAAAAATAATAATTAATAGGGCAAAAAGGCTCATCAACAAGGGATTTAAATGCACATTGGTCCACACAAAAAACAGTCTTTCAAATAAACTCATCCCCATGTCTTTAGTCTAAAATATCTTCCATAATATAATTCTTACAATTCCATCCATTATGTTTTAACTTTCTTAATATAACACATTGACCCTAGATTTAAGCAAATATATCACATTAACCCCAAAAACAATAATTTTTTGATTTTTTTTTCTCTGAAAATATTTTCTCCGGCGTTAACTTTTTTTTGTGAATTTTTTTTCCGGCCGGTCAATCACTGTTGACCGCCGGTCTCCGGCGTTGACTTTTTTCGAATTTTTTTTTCTTAGAAAAAAATATTTTAATTAATATTATTGTCTTGGCTACTAAATTACTACCTCAGACAGTAATATTACTTTTTGGGACATTAATATTATGAATATTATTTTCCCGAACAGTAATATTATTGTCTAAGACAGTTAAATTATTGTTGGATACAGTAATTTAGCAGCCAAGACAGTAATATTAATTAAAATATTTTTCTAAGAAAAAAAAAATTCAAAAAAAAAAAAGGTCAATTAACAGTTAAATTATTGTTTCCGACAGTTAAATAACTGCTGGAGACAGTAATTTAGCAGCCAAGACAGTAATATTAATTAAAAATATTTTTTTTAAGAATAAAAAAGTTAATTAACAGTTAAATTACTGTCTCCGAACAAAAAATAAGAACGACATAATTAATTATCAATATTTAGCAAACAAAAATACATTTGAAAATAATATAAGGAAAAATAATGCAAAAAAGAATATAAAAACAAAAATACGAATGAAATCCAATAATTTCTTTTATCAAGAACAACTAAACGTTCATAGAAAACAAAAAAATAAGGTAGAATAAAAAATGAAAACAGAGCAAAAAAAAAAATATGTGTGTTGCGTGCTAGTTATAGAATAAATGAGTGAAAATAATGGAGTATTTATAGTGTTTAGGATGTGGTGTAATAAGATTTTTTTTTATATTGATAAATTAGGAAATTATATTATTAATATTAATATAATTGCGTATTTAATGTGGAAAAGATCCGGATTGATTAAATATAAATGGGTA